TTAAGAACTTCAAACTGAACATCAGCAGATGGATCAGACATCTGTGTTTCACGAGTTAAAGATAGTTAGCTGGATGGAGGGAGAATTAGTAGCATATTTGTCTGGATCACCCAATAGTAAAATTCACGTGGCTTCTGTCAATCTGAGATTCGTTCAGCGTTGTTCTCATCTTCTTAGTTTCTAATTGGACAGAATTGCTAAACCCAATGAATTTTCTACGACAAATTAATATATGTAGTGATCTTGGTTATTTCCAAGCCATTCTAAAAGGGTATTTTCTCATAGTTTTACTTTTTTGTACAAACCTATATTTACACTTACGATCATATGTCTTTTCTAGAGAGTCCGAAGTATAACTATTGTTTGTAGGAGACTTCAGGGCATTCGGACTTCTTCGAAGGTTTTGGAAAATTTGACTGCATAACCATTCACGGTTAGCATCCATCCGGAGTGGATGAAAGTATTCTTAAGTCCCTTTCAGTTATGTCCATTTTCTGGTTCAGTTCAAAGCAGCTGATTTGTATCCAATGAATTATGTAACGATCGAACCAATACGTCAACATTTTGAGCGAAAGTATGTGATGAGTGTTTTTTTCCCTTTGGGAACAAGCATTAAAATACATTTGTCAGAACATTCACCTTAACATTTTGATAGTGAACTTCAATACTTATGATGGATAATGACCAGCGTTGGAATCCAGGGCTCGCATTTCGTCCTATTTTGGACTTGTTGGCTGGATGTATCTGCATCCCAGTAAGCGATGTCGTTCTAACTTTGACTCGAAGACCTAACCGATAGCTTTGAACGATAGAACGTTATCAACACTAGGCCACTAAGTCACGATAACTTTCTAGCACTTGAAGCCATTGGTCTCTGGTTAGAATTTCTGTGGGGACAACATCAATCACTGTGGTCCAGGTATACCAGCTGACTAGTCTCAAATAGACGAAATGTGTGTCCTCGATTCCACTCCCAGGCACCATGCATCACTACTATGCAATTGAAACGAAAGGTATTATCGAGGTATCCAAGGAGTAGCCCATATACTAATAGACACCAATCAATTTAGTCCAGTCAATGACGAGATAATATAAATAACAATATGGTGAGCTCAGATGTTACATAGCATTAATTTTCCAAGGTTTACCTAACTTAGTAGTAGCTATTTTAGCAAATCAATTAGTTTACGCTTCGAAACATCTTCAGGTCAGAAAACTACTTTCAGCACAGTAGACGGTTCACACCGTTTTAGTAAATAAATCACAGTGAGAATTTTTTATGAAAAGAAGTATACTTAGTATTTGAAGAATTTACGTATTATTATCATCATGAAGCAGACTTTCAGAATAACTAGAAGAATAAGGGATTTACTGTGAGCATAAACAGCATTACCTGGATTTCTAACCTATTATTTTATTTTACATTGACAGTAAAAGTCTGTTTTTCATTATGAGGTATACATATACTGATAATCCCCTTATACCTTAATGAGCACTTACTTGATAATAGTATAGCTTTATTTATTTAAGTCTTTCCTAAAACAAACCGTCTCTCACCATTTGGCTCCTAGATATATTCATTAGGTTACGAAGATCTTCAATCATTGGTTTGTTTCCATAGTTTTATGCGAGTTTGTAACCATTTATTCTAACAGGAAATAGAAGTTTTAATTTAGTTACCAACAAGGCTAGGAAACAGTGCGTCATCAGTGTCGACTATGAATGTAAAATTAGTGGTTTGTGAATACCCTGAGATATTATTTGGAATTATATTCGTATGTATTATGCTAGCTAAATCTACACGTTTTGGGGCATTAAGCATACTTTCAGTGGATTAAAAAAACCAGATATGACAAAAAAAACCCATTTTCTACCATCTACATAGCGATTCTCATGAAATTTCTCATAATTCTAAAGTTTACAGACAATTAAGATTTTTAAAAAGTTATATTGTGAAATGTGTTCAAATCCAATTTATTGTTCCTGAGGGCATAAAATGTACTGAAGCGTCTGCGGGGTATTACCTATCTTATGTCACTATTTTTATTGATTGGTACTCTAAAAACAGCTTATTGTCGAGTGGAAAATATTTGTAGCTCAGTTGGATTATCTTGGTTGTATTGTGTTCTCTGAGCTGGGTAGGTTAACCGTGAAGTTTTCATTGGCTTTCTAGAGAAAATCATCAGCACAAGTTCAAACTACAACTCATATTATGCAGATCAAAGGACACAACAGACTAATTAAATATCACTTACTAAATCAGCTACAATAATTGTGATTAACACTACATTCAACAAAACTATATAAGCACCAACAAGCCATTAAACGTCACGATATTTCATCGCTCATTTCAATGTACGTGAATAATTGTGGATATGATATCAATTTTGACAATGTAGAAATCACACACAGAGGAAAAACAGAATATCAGGCAGTTCCTAGAAGCTTGGCATTCAGATCAGTCAGTCAACAATCAATAGATGTAAAGACATAACCCAAATTTATCAACTAACAAGAAAATGTTTAGATTGTAATTCATCATGGACTGACATGAACTGAAGGAACACTGAAAACTTTGGGGCACTGTTTAGCTGTTTCGTCCTAGTACGGGACTTTTCAGCAGTGGCACCTCCAACCAATAACAGTCCATGATGAATTCCAATCTAAGATCAATTAAAAAATCTCCAAAAACCTCCAGATACAATGAGAAACATGTTAAATAAAAAAAAAGTAAGAGATCAGGCAGAGAAACAGTCTACAAGAAAATCTATGGATCCAGTGACACAATAATAAGAGGAAACAACTAATCACAAACCATTTCATCACGACAGGCTACCGAATCACTCACAAAGAGGTACTGACAGCTGACTTCATACTGAAATTATTGCTGATGATGTTGACCAAATAGGCAATGAAAGCCTCACGATTAAACCATCCAGCTCACAGAACACAACACAAACAGATTCTTATTTAAAACAACCATAAATGAGCAAGTCATGATTCTTTTTAAACCTCTTCTCTTTACATAGTTATTTAAGGTTGGTGAATATTATTCAGCACAAATAATTTGCGGAGGATCAGAGGCATTCACCTTACTAAAATTTGAAGAAAAGTGTTTCGGGAACATTAAACCTGTCCACTATTAAGTGAAACCACTCATTCGAAAGTTTTTGAACCAACATCCGTCAAAATGTTTAATGAAAGTGATTAAAACAAAGTCACTGAAGTATCTATCTGGCTGTCTTGTAAAATCAGTATGGACCTTTGCCAGAATCTCAGTCCTTGGCGAGAATAACTCGAATAGTAAATTCAGTAGTGGCTCTCTTTGAAATAAAAAGATATTCAGATTGTGAATTTTGATTACCTTGACGCCACGCAAGCCAGCAGGAATACTGTACAATGTATCGTTCCTCCAGATATGACCAGTCAAAGGTAGATCTTACGAATGAATAGCACTCACCAGCCAGATAGAAGTGAGCCAAAACGCCTGATGACGAATTAAATAGGTGTAAGACTTGAGCAATGTGGTAGAATTTAATTCCATATTAGATTTGTTTAACTGATTTATAACACACAGTGATATAGTATTACTTACATGATGGTGAATTTCTGTCACTAGTGATCAAGATTTTGAGTCAGACAGTATGATTGTTTGAGCTGTATCCAGTCTGCTGTGTAGTGAGTTGTGTTCAATAGGGTATCGAGAGGAGATTTATTGATTCTCGGATACTATTATAACTAAGATCTGAGAGTTACATAAGATGCTATTTGCTTTGGAATTCATAATAATAGGTGAGTCAAAGCAAGATTCAACCTGAAATGATTATTTTGGCCTAAGCTTCTAATAAGCTTATTCTATTACATAAAGCTAAGCCATAGTGGTTTATTTTTATTTGATAATGTCATCTATTTTAAATTGAATTGTAACCTGGCTTATTCACTTCGACTGACATAACGTGTTCGAATTTTCGTCGCAACACATTTCAGTATGAATGACTAAGTTGCGTGAACACGTTCTACGCAATCATGAAATCAGGTTACGTACATGATAACGGCTTTATTGAGTTTCAGTTAGTTTTTATAGAAAGGTAACATTTTCTAACAGACTAGTATCTGGAGAAGTACTCACCCTTGATCTTGTAAGTAGTTGACCTCCCCCCCCCATTGCGCAGTCGTTAGGTTTTGTAGTTTGCATCAGATTACACTGTAGTAGTCCACATTTCTAAGATTAATTCTCCAAATAAAGTTACTACTATCTACCATCCCTAACAGCTGGGTCTCCAGTATCCTGATTTGATTGTTTCTACATGTAAGTAGCTTACACAAAAGTTAGGTGGATGGTGACTGAATACTCAGAAATAAATCTCTTTGAGATAGATTTTCCGAAGTTTTAACACGAAACCGGGATTGATACAGTCAGTCATTTCAGAAAAAGAGGCGTTTGTCCCCCCAATGATACTTCATGATAGTGACACTGCATCCTGAGTGAACAGAAGTTCAGATTGTTGGTTATTTTCAGCCAAAAGGAATCCTAGGAACGTGTAAACCATAAGATCAAACCCTCCCCGCCTAACTCATTCCAATGTGAAGTTTAAAGTATCCGCAGCCTAATATTGAAGAGCTCTATAATACTCTTAAGTTTTCAATTGTTCTTCAGATGATTTCAGTCTCAAGTGAAAAGAATTCTCTGAAGTGGATCTTTTATTAAATATTTTTTGTTAAAAAAAGTTTTTACTAAGATTAAAGATAGGAAAGAAATAATGTTACACCTAATGGGCTGTAGATACTTTCAGTTGAAGAGTTTTTTTGTGATTAAATACATTGAACTCACCTTACAGCCAATATCGTTGAATACCAAAAAGTCAAATTAAACTGTATTCAAGATATCCTATTAAACGGTAACTTTCGATATAAATAAAGTAGCTACAAGGGCGTTAATTTAAAGAATCGATGGAATGCTTAAGATATTATATGTGGGAAAAACGTTAACGTATGAAAGAGCAAACTGAAAGTCTAAATTTAGATGAATAAAAATACTGATCAGATAGTCAAGAGTATATAGACACAGTATAAGGATAAACAATAATTATAAACAGGCAGTGTCTTATATACACTTGCAACCGACTATATATTTCTATTGTGTTCAAGCTTATGGTTAGCCATGAGGGATAAATACACGAGAAAAAATCTCAGAAATTAGTTAGATCAGCAAACTGTGTAGGTGGAGGTGGAGCTTGACCTATAGGTGGTGGGAGCAGTGGCGGTGGTGGTGGGGGTGGTAAAGATGAAGAATATGACATTGTAGGCGGTAGAGTGGATGAATTCATATGATGTCGATTTATATCACTTACTGTACCCAATATCGTTTTATAGGCCAGATAATTATTGTCATTACGTGCGGCATAAATATCATTTTGATTGCTAGAATCATTCCCAAACTTAGATAGACGATCAAAATATCCATTACTGATGTAACCATCATGAACTGACGATGATAAGCAGTTGTAGGAAGGTTGTGGATACCTGGATAAATGTTCGCTGTTATTACTATTAGAATTAATAATTGTAACTGCAGTAGTAGTAGTATTATCATTTGTTTCGTCTACATCTATGGCGAAAGTTGATTGTTCATTCGTAGGATAAAAATTGTTTGAATGATTGAATTAAAATTGGCCATTGACGGACCATCATATCCTTCTTCATAATTTTGAATATAATTCCCAGTGTCTAATGATAATGGTTTGACTGTAGGTACACAAAACGAAGGTTGCTTTGATCCACTCCAATTCATATAACGATTAGATAAGTAGTAATTCCGTGGAATTGTAGCAAATCCATTTTCGGTCACCAGCTCATTATTTTGGTATCCTGTATTACTAGCTGAAGAATGTCGAAAAGGCTGACAGTTTTGATAAGGATGGTTATATTGATTTTGATTAGGATGATAATTAGGCAAAGAGGAGATATCGTCTATACCATAGTTTGCATCAAAATTTGTTGTTTGCATTTGAGATTCTCGGAATGAATTTGAGTAGCCAATTCCAGTAACATTACCGTTGTTTGTAGTTCCAGGATATATCCGACAATCTATACTATCAAAATGATTAAGACTTGATGGTGATTGGTCAACTGATGCCCATCGTCTAGCTGGTTTGTAATAACAGTCAGAGTCTGAAGTAATGATATTGGAGATATTTGACCTGACATGGTATAGAATGCAGTAAACAGACGATAATACATTTAAGGCTCTTTTAATCTGAATAAAAAGTTTTCAATCTGTTAATTATGACTCAATTGTTGACATTTTTATGCCTAAATGAACTGTCAAAACCTAAATTCCAGGTCACTTTGGTGTGTGTTGATTTGATAGCCCCTTAGTCATAATCCCACAATTTTACCGATCTGTCTTGTAGTGTTAATAGCCATAGCAATCCGATAACACCCTTGCATAATAACACACAAGGTTGTATGCTATCCAAACCGACTAGTAAGTTTTTCTGAAGCTCATCAGAATGCCTTGAAATCTAGAGGACCACCGTAATCTTCTTAAACAAAAACTTTCAGAAATTAGCCTTAACAAACCCGCTTAAGAGAATATAATTATTCTGAGCATTCGGGACTGGTTAACCAGGCTGACTGACTTATTGACTTACTGGTGGTATATAATTTAGGTACTGAAACGTGATGATAGATTAGATTCACATCCAACTACTGATTCATTTAGTGGAGCGTTTCATAGTAATCAGTAGCAGTGGGACCTGATTGATTAGTTCGCTCTGAAATCATCACTAACGAGTGAACTGTGGGATCTTATAGATCGAGAAAACTTGCATATTTCAGGATTCTTGAACCTCTGAAACACATTTGATCTTATATTTCTAACTATATGTAGTCGTTTCATTGACGGTTAATAGGATTTAATATCCAATAAGAACGAAAATTCATACATAATTTCACGCGGTTTATAGGATTTTTGTAATTAAGTGATGCAGGTTCAGTCTATGACAGTAGAAAAATGAATAAGGTATATATGTATAGTTACCTGATAGAAAATGAATCTGTGGCCGACAGGGCTTTATGATGGCTATGGCAAAGATAGGGGTTTGACGTGCGTGCAACCTCTATTTTTGCCATGGCCATCATAAAGCTCTGTGGGCTACAGATTCATTTTCTATCAGGTAACTACACATGTATACTTTATTCATTTTTCTACTGTCATAGATTGAACCAGCATTACGTAATCGCAATCACAATACCTTGTTTATTTTCCTACTCTGTCACGGATTTGTGATTATGAAGAGTAATGGTTCATATCCCTTTCATCCCACTCAAGGAGTACTCGGAGCTCATGTCTTCGAACCAATTATAGGGGGGAACATTTGGTACGTTTTAAAAAGTTTCGAGAAGCCTTAAGACTACTTATTAGTAGTTAGGTCTCTATGTTAAAAATAAATGTAACCAAAAATATCAATTTTTTAAAAGAACACTGTACTAAAAGCGATTAACCTCTGAAGCTTACACCAGCCTATTTAGTATCTCTTATTTAGTAGAAAACTTTTATTTATTCTCTTAATCGTATGACTGCTGTTGCAAAGTCTATTTTAGTTTGGTCATGTCACACACGACGTAAAAATTCAATTGGTAGTAGGTGCTTCACTTTCATTCCCATTTCCTTCAGACTTTCTGAAAGAAATACATTTATCGGTTTCATGAGTGAGGTAACGAGAAGTCTCATGTGATCAGTCCCCTAAAAGTAATATATCAGTGGAAATTCACGAAAATACTAAGTAAATTATTTATATTCCCTTATTGTTCTATTATAAAACCTGATTTTCAAGAATATTAGAAATTGATTTCTATAAATTGGGCAGCTTCTGATAACGCTCTAATTGTATCACCAGACATTTGATGAGTATTCATCCATAAAAAATGTTGAGTTCAGATCTATTATATCACGCTAAGAGGTGGTTCACTCAACACATGAAGTCAGAATGTTTTCCTACTGAGAACTCCTAGGCTAAAGCAATACACTTGCTGGAAAATCCATAGAGGCTATTTCCTTTGGCTAACAATCGTTTTTATTGTGAACATTGTATTATGTGTAAAAATGTTATGTTCCTTAGTTTCACTACAGCGAATTTATAGCTGCAAAACCAATATTTGTCTGCCTTCGGTACATAGAATTCTATGTAACCAACCGATCTATATTATTTCCTGCGGAATTTCACTATGTGGTTAATATCAATGGAAATTAATGACTTTGAGGGTAAAAATGGTAGGCATTAATGAACAACAACCAGTGGTCGAAATCCTACCATCAAATTACTCATTTAATTGACAATGTCTCTAATTCTAGTTCTGGGTGACTTTAGTGTTGATCTTTAAAGAATCCTTAGTTCTGTGAGGACCACAGATACTTCATATTGACAAGTAGGTATGAAAATTGGGTAAAGTAGGGTATTCTACTGATTACATCCATCTAATTAACATAATCAGCAAAAATAAATTCTCTAATACATCGCTTGTCTACACAACTCTTAAGATAATGGTTTTATTTACTGTTACTTAATTTAAAAAACGAATCACTATCAAACCAACGTTGTTCAAAACAACTTACTGCTTGTTTGTCTTAGTTTACGACGAATAAAGCAGAGTACTAATCCAACACATCCCGTGCTTATGGTAAGGATAAGAATTATACCAATAGAAGACAGGACAATAACTTTTCTCCAGTTCTGTAAATAAATTAAGAATATCATGGAGGTTTATTATTAACAAGATTTTAAGCAGTTGCATTGTTGCAGCCGAATACACATGTTTACAACACAAAAGAGATTTATACAAAGAAGAATTATTTCGAAGTCACTGCTGAAAATAAATTGATTCAAAGTGCTTAAACATACTTCAGTATACATAGTGTAGTAATGATTCATGGATAAGAGTCTAACATAATCACTCAAGTCAATGGACTGATGATTTCTCTTCGGACCTATATCTAAGACGTTTGAACGATGGCAGTTTTAAAACGGTTAACCAATTTACTGTTCTGATACTAACGATGCATAGTGTCCGACAGTCGAATTCGGCAATTGCGTTTCGTCCTATTTAGGACTCCTCAGGTGGATGAGCCTTTATCCAAGTGATTGGCGTTGTTCCTGCTGAGACTAGAGCCCAGCACCGATCACTTCAAACACCAGCGCGCTGTTCACTAGGTCACTGAGTCACGACGGTCACTCCTTGTACGATGGATCAAGCATACCTTCAAAGTTATAGCTTGCATACCTCGTAGCCCATAGCATAGCGGATAACGGACTGGCCTTTGAAGTGACTGGTCCTGAGTTCCAGTCTTAGTGGTAACATTACAACTCACTGGGGGTAGATAAATCCAGCTGACGACTCCCAAATAGCATGTAAAAGCACTTTCTGGATCTTACTGCTAGCCATTGTCCATAATTAATATCAAAACTAGGACATAAAAATATCGAGGCATTCGCACAGAAGTTCATATGTCTACAGTGACCAATCAGTCTGGTCCAATCAACGATGAAAATTTAAAAGCTATAAAATTTATTGTTAATTATATGAAATTCAATAAAATCCACAAAGACGTTGCTACACGTTTCTAGAAAATGACATTTACCTAGTTAGATTTCATTAGCCTCTTATATGATGTGGTTCAGATCTTATTAATATCAATGAAAACTTCAATAATAAGAAAAGGGCTTCTAGTATTATTCATAGTGATTATTATCTTTTGTTAGGTGATACGACAGTCTGTAGGAAACAACAAAATTCAATGCTTAATACTGTTTGTAGTCATCAGTAAGATATTCCACAAAAACATCAAAATAATTCTACCCCATTTTGAAATCCGTATAGGTACCAAGCTGTTATAGTAGCAATTAACTTCATATATCTTACCATTTCCCACCATCCATGTCTGAACTAACTTCACCTCATTGGTAATTAGTTCAAATTTGTGGTAATATTGCACACGTGATAATGTAGACTGTTAAGAAGTGACTCAACAGGCTGAACTTAAGCAGTTATTATTCAACGGTTCCATGTTTTCAAAAGATATTCTGAAAACAATTATTTTCTGATGTTATTTCGTAGCCAACGCTAAAGGCTTTCTCTTCCGTTAGTTACCTCTTTCCTATGCCTTGCTACTATCCAGTAACAATTATCTCATCGCAGTATGTTACTCGTTTTCGAACCAACATAAATCTTTGAAGTATTTGTAATTTACTATGTGCTGTGGTTTTGTCAAATACAAGTATTAGCCTGTAAGTAGTATATGATGATATAACCGGAAAGTGGAAGAAGTCACCCAGAATATATATGGCTTGTACTCAGATTCGTTTTCGACTGAATGTGTGTGTGTGAGCACCATAGAGACAAACAGAGGTGATTGGCACTGTGATGCGTAAGATGTTAAAGTCATTTGGCTTAAACATTTGACATTCAAGTAAAAAGTCTTAGGTTCATATGTTATCCAACAGTTTTCTGCTTGGTTAACTGGATAGTATCATAAGCTTTCATGCGACCAGCATCCTCATAACCTATTTCATAATTATGTGCCGCACAAGATTACATTAAGTTTGATTAACTTCATAATCACTTGATAGAGTACAAATATTTTGTTTTCTGTTACAGTACAGGTGTTGATCAACTCTGAAAATCATAGCGCAGCTCTAGTTACTATACAGCAACTGATCCGTACACTTTATCTCACTGCATCCTTAGTACTGAAGAAACAGCTACTTTTCAGAGTGTAATTTTGACGTTAAGAATTCATCTACATTCTCGTACTCATCTTCATGCACACAACGCTTTAAAATGTTCTTAAATTCACCTTCAATTCAAAGTGACATTGGGGCTAGCGCTGATGATCATCTTGTTAAAAAAGACAATGAAGGTGTCATAGTTGAACCGTTTAGCTGAAAGAGAGCGATTCCCCTAGGAAATCACATACAGGCGGTTTAATCTAAATTTTCCAACCGATCATATTCGCTTTAACTTCTTCTGTGGGTCAATGCACCGATGATACAGAAATATTTGTATGATATTGCAGTCTGTGCTGAGAACACATGGAATTTCAGGTTTCATTCCAAGAAATGATCCATACTTGTTGAATTGAAATTATTCCTTCACAGCATTGCATCACATCAGGATGTACTTGCAGTGTTCAATTATACTTTTGCAGATAGAATACAGCTACAGTTTTGGTTCATATCCCTTCACTATTTTTGGAAACGTCAAAAATTCAGATTTTGTGAACCTGAATGAAGTTATCGATAAAATTTAGGACTCCAAAAACTATTCAACAGACTGGGATTCAAGATATTGGGCAATGTTAGTTTAAAATTACTCTATCTTGAAAAGTATGAACAGTTTTCGAAGTATCAAAACATAAAACTATAGGGCTGCGCAATGAATTTAATGAATACTGATCAACGGTGTTTTCGTTAATTCATAGATGAATTAGACATTATCTCTGTTTAAACAAGTTCATCACTGAATTGAATTTATTCAGTTTGACAGTTTGTGAGGATTGATTAATTTCAGGGTAACATTTATCATGGGCTGCTGTCAGTGAGAAAGCCACTGAAAAATGGAAGCGCTAGATATCTGTTATGTCCTACTTTGGGACGTGTCAACAGTATGCACCCATAATCCTGTGAGGGATGGGGACTAAGACTATCAGGTTTCGCGGTGAACATGCTACCTTACCGCAATCTGGTTGGAGTTTATTGCCCAACGCTTCCCAACTTCTGTGAACTCATGAAACTGTGCAACCATTTCCATTTCATGCCAATAGTAATGCGTTCACCACGAAAGCTGAAGGTCCTAGGAGGTATCATAAGTGCATGCTTCTGGGGGATCCCATACTGGGACGGGACATCTGTTCAGTGTCCCCGGGTTTTCACTGGTTTTCCAACTGACGTCAGTCCATGGTAAGTAATTTCTGTAACTGTTACAAAATTCGTCTTGATCAATGCGACTGATGTCATAGTTTTATTAACTGTAAGAAAGTACTGTGAGGTTATTGAATTCACTGACTGCTTTCAATAATGACTGATAGCAGAACTTAAAAATGTATTTCTACTGACGTAGGGTTACACATGGATGGTGATTTGAACTGTGTAGTAGTTACGTAGTTACCTCAAATTATGCTGATTACATAACTTTCCTTAGGATAAACCAGAAAAGAACTATGTATTTCAGTGATGAATAGTGACTGGCAGACAAATCCGCGACCCCCGTTTCGTGCTATTTGGGACTCGCCTTTTGGGTGTACCTGCCACCCAATGAGCGATGTTTTTCCAACTGGGACTTGAACTAGGGGTCGACAGCTTCAAATGCCAGAGCCTTATCCGCTAGACCGCTGAGTCACGATAGCCACTTCCTGTGCGACTGGTATAGTTTTAATATTATTGCTTGTATCAACGACGTGAGTACACAAGTAACAACATTAGAACCGAACTAGTTTATAACTGTCAAATAGCTTGTATATGCTGTAAATTGTTTCTGTTTATCAATTGACCAACTCTTTACTTTCGAACGAAATGTATGCATTGACACTTACATAAGTACGAATATGATGTCCAGTTAGATTACACAATGACTAGAAAAGAATAGTAATCTGTTATAATTGATTTTTGCAATCACATAAACAAACCAACAAACTAGGGTAACCGAATAGTGGGTGTTACCAAAGGAAATTGTACACAAACACATACACACACACACACCGATTCAGTATAAACATTCACATTTTGGAATACATCATCTAAATAATTAATAAATCCACGTAAAACAAGGACATGATGAATACTTTCTCTGATTGATTATTCTTTTCATGACTGCTATGATTACAAAATTTCATGGATGATTCTATATGACACATCTCATATGTTCTGTTAGAAATCGGTTTCATACGTGTGAACTTTTAACTACACTTGGTGTGCACAGAGATGTAAATAAGTATGCATTTATGCTATCTGGATGAAATCTTGAAAGTGTAAATTTCGTAGTTACTTAGTGCCACTATTCACAGAAACTAGTTAGCTGTACAAACCATACTTTTATACTTCCTGTGTGCTTTGAAGTTTATTAAGCAATTGGATTGATTTTCCGGGGTAGGATCGGTAGATCAACAGCCAACTTTCCCTCTTTTTGACATACAGTAAACTAATGAACTGGTAAACTAGGTTACCTAATATCACCGATGGTCTTCTTGATTGTGGTCGACTGGATTGAATCCGATCATGCAACAAACTGTGAGCAGCGAGAAGGGTTCATAAAATGTTTCACCGACGAAAAGATCCTAGAAGATTTGGATTTGGCCAATGATGATTTGTGTCCAATGTCTTGTCGCACAAACTGGAAGGTCTATAGGCGAAAAACAACAAGTTGGCAGAAGAGACAGAGAAGCGAAGATGGGACTTCCTTCAGGTGGACGTAGAGAAGACAGAGGTGATGAAGATACCCAACCAACAACAACAAGCACCAATCACCATCAACAGCAGAAACCTAAAGGAAGTAGTTTCTTTCACCTGCCTAGGCAACATCGTTCAACTACAGGTGGAACAGGCACAGATGAGGACGTCAAAGCAGCCAGCATCGGAAAGATAGCAGGACAGGCCTTCCTGCATTAACCTGAAATCAGTGTGGAGATCTACTGTACCGCACTGTACTGTACTCATCAACAAAGGTGAACAACATACACATTTTAAACATCAACGTCAAGTCAGTACTTCTATGGGATGGTTCAGATACTTGGCGCGTTACGAAGAGCACTTCCAACAAACTGCAAATTTACATCATCAACACATGCCACCTACACAAACTCCATACTGAAGATGGACATCAGATAACCAGAATGATAAGAATCAACAGCAAGGAACTCTGGCTGACAACGCAGCAACCAACAAAACAACCAAACAACCAACCAACCAACCAACCAGTCGAGAACCCATCACCCAACAAATGTGTTGAAGACGAAAGTGGAGATGGATTGGATGGGGGGGGGTATACACTGAGAAGACCATTCAGGGACATCATGAGTCTGACCAGATCAGGTCAGGTCAGTCAGGTGAGTTCAGGTGAGGTGAGGTGAGGTGAGGTGAGGGCGTTGATTGGAAGTCAAATGGGAAGGATGAGTTTGGTGTTTGTGGTGAGGGTGAGTGAGGTGAGGGTGAGATGGAGGAGATGGTGTGAGGAAGAAATGGAAGCGTGTGGGCAATCGTGGAGGCAGGTTGATTAGATTGTAGGGAAGAGAGTGAAATTGCGTGTACTACTGGATTCCTATGTTCTATCAAGAACCCATGGACAAATAATAATAATGATACAAACCGTACATGAATCAGACACTGACTTCGCGAAAATGTCTACTTTGTTTCAGAGACGAGAAACAAGGACTTTTGTCGGAAATATATGATTACGAGCGATAATTTATGCTCGAAAAGTCATCAAGTAGATATTACTAGATCACTGTATGTCATAAATCAAATAAACAAATCTAATGTGGAATTAAATTCTACCACAGTGCTCAAGTTTTACACTTACATACTTCTTTTCTTTTTACCAAACTGCATGTTTGTATTTGTAATGAATAAACAGCCGAATAGCGGTCTTAAGTAAGTCAGCTACTAAAAGCCAAACAATCATTTTTATTCAGTGGATGGAGGGATTGCAGACATTGAGCTGTCATGATCTATAAAGCTGTACTATGAGCTATTTATTTGCAGAGAAAAACTGTGGTTCAAGATTATAACAATGGCAATGACAAACGTCTGGTGTTCCGTCGACTGTGCTTTTAGATCATGACAGTTTGATCACCAGAATATATCACACTACGTACTTCAACATCACTTCTATATTCTCTAAATTCCCTAGCATGTTTGCTTGACTGTATGAATATCAGGTAGGAATTGAGAAGGCATATTCTTGGAAAGATCATGTAAAACTGTAGTACACTGTGCTGATAAGAAACACATACTACACTCAAAAATATCAACTGCTGATAAAGTGTAACCTGACTACTTTTCATGTTAGTGCATAGTTAGATGACACTGTTAGCTTAGTCGAACTACTAACTTAGGTCCTAAACATATACTCCATACATTCGTATCCATAGAATACGTTTGACAGTATAGTTAGCCAAAAGATGGAATGTGGGCTGTTCTTTGACGTTTTCACTTTTCCATCACGATTAATGAATTTTAGTAAGTTTTTAGGAAGTTCTTGTGAATATCCTTCTTTTGGCAACAAATCTTTGGAGTCGATTACCAAGAATCTTAACTGGTTCGAGTTTTTATGCTTACTACCATTCAACAGAAAAGAATATCTGTGACCTTGAATGGATTTGAACTCGGTCACTCAGGTTCTGTTCAACACTAGACAATAATCTTAGGTCGTGATCCCGCTTTTTGTATAGTGACCATTAATTGTTAACTAATGGGATCATGATCTTTCTCACCATAAGTTAATGGAAATTTATATGTAATACGTTCATAAAATAATCATGCTTTCATTTGCAGCACTGAAGTACAGCAGCGGCTGTCTCTGAAAAAAGAACATTCTAAGTTAGGCCTAAAATATGCTTTGTTGTTCCATGCCAGAATGAACAAGATTATTTTCAGTACCGCTTGATGATTGCCCTAGCAATATGTCACTTAAACTGTGGACAGCAGTCAATTCGTCAGTTAACACTGGATTTCAGAATATGATTGAGAAACATCTAGAGATTAATAAATGAGTAGTCTGCAGCTCAGGAATACGTCTTATCGACTGAAGAATGGTTAACTTTATTACAAACATGAATACGATTAAATGAATAGGAAGTGATTTAGTTTGAACAGATTCCTAATAGAACACCTGGGAAGACCAGAAAACTATAGGATTTTGTTACTTTCTAGTTTACCGTTCCATAACAGAGTTCATTCAGCAGATTCTTTATCAACTACTGTCAGTTGGTGACGAGTAGTAGCTTAAATCTTGTTTCTGTTCACCATAATTACCTAAGTAACTTTACGGGAAAATCAAATCTTCTGTTACCTAAGTTTATTAAAATTTGAAATTGTGCGCCTATAAAAAGTTGTTACTGTATTTTCAGAAGTAACTTTATATTTTTCTCTTTTTATATCTTTCTTGTTCACATGTTATGTTTCAGGTGGACTCATTATTCAGGATGTTCACAGAAGTAATACTTCTTTACTACAATACGATAACCTGTCAACTATGCAAGACAATACATTATCATTGAATTATACACTAAATTCTCAAGGCCATCAGGCGTAAATCCACAATACATCCTTTCTGATCATAACTAGTATCATATACAATCACAAGCTACAAACAATTTATTTTCACACTCCATTTCTATGAATACAAGGCAATATAAGAATGTGATAAGCCAAAACTAACCTGTTCATTGACTAGTTTTGGATTTTTAATCCCCATAACTATTTCTGACGGTGATCTATCTGGAGTAACTGTACTGTTAATAATTATTGTAGCAGCAGCTGTAGTTTTACTTGTCGGTCAAAATCTGAATTCATTTCAAGTGGGTTTTCTCTAACATCATTGGAATTCGACGATTTAGACTCTTTAGTATTCATATATTCGGTAGACTGTATTTCTTTACTTTCAGTAGTAGTACTTAGTGATTTTTCAATACGAAATGAATTATTCTTTTTGAATTCAGTCTCTTTTAATGGAATTGTATTTAAATTTACGGGAAATATGTTATTCATTGAATGATTTCTTAACTCACAACGTAAACCTCTGAAATCAGTAGGACAAATGCATATTGGTAACTCTGTAGTTTCAATATTTGGATTATTCATGCAAACTCCACCATTTAAACAATAATTGCGTTTGTTGAGACATTGATCTGAACGACATTTTTGAAACTTTTGATCCATATAATAACCTGAATATAAGAAGATTAAGAAGATGTAAAACTAGACTAGGGGTTTCTGACACAAGTAAAAAAGTTTCAGTATTTTAGGTTCTGTCATACTGAAACATGAAAGTACCTGACTAAAAGTTTCCCCTTAAAAAGTTCGAGGTATTTGTTGCTAAGTCACTCCAACAAAGCTTCAGGCTTGTCATAATAACTGAGCAAAACATCTTGATTTTAGAGTTTTATAGACTAATCGGATGCCTTAGGGGGAGTTAAAGTTAGGCTGATGATTTCTAAATTAATCTGAGCATAGCTAGAAAGTTAGTTATATCATATGTAGGCTATGTTCCATGAATGTCAGCCACCTAGTATTCCTAGCCTCTTACTGCAACTCACTTTTGATGGTTAGTGAAAAGTGAACCAATCACCTAGTATCTAAGTTTTTGTTTCATCAGTAATAAGCGTCGATGTTATCTTCACCTCACCTCTGGCTAGCAGATAACATTCAGGTAATATATGCTCAAAAGTAATTTCGTCCAATAGAAATGTAAACCAGGCCTTCATTTCATATTCGGTAGCGCACAAATCCATTCTAAGGTTAATCTACTGCCAAATAATGCATTATTTTGGTGAAGTAATATAAATTAGCGTAGTAGATAATGAGCTCTGTCCAGTATTACACGACTACACAAACCTTGGCCGATGAAACGGATTCTGGACTAGTGACCTAACAAGTAGAATAACCAGTACCTGAACCAGTTAGCCATGACATAAGACTATATTATACTATACGTGTAAAATCACAAAAGAGGTTACTTACCCGGCTTACAAAACATATTCCCCAATTGATCACATCGATATTCAACAGCTTGTTGATCGCAGAATTTTGTGCATGTCTTTCCAAAATAATTTGGTAGACATGAATAAGCGACATGAAAACGAACTATCCTATGAATTTATAATGGAAATAAGGTTAATTAGGAATGGGATATGGTTCTAATAGTCATACTTTATATGCATTACTTTGAGTAAATCTTATATTTAAGTATATTGTACAGAAGTGTAACATATAAATTTATAAGACAGAACATTAGCTGATATGTATAAATTTTAGGAATGAAACTAGTTGCCGACTTTGTATGGAATGGAAAATCTTCTTTGGTTTGTCATTAATATCCTAAGGTTAAGAGTCTCCGTAGGGAAATTGAGATTGATGGGGGTGTTATCTAATGGTAGATATCACATGGAATAGAACAAATATCCTGAATTCCACCACCAGGTAACACTAAGTAACAGAAAATAATTCTTTATAAGGCGATGAATGATGAACTTTAAAACTTAAAAGAACTTTCCGTGTTAAATGGAATTACTGAAGTATTACCAAACAACTCGACAGTCTATGCCATGCTACTTCAAAGAAAATAACAGCAACAAGTATTTTAATACAAACTGCTGCTGTTAAGCCACTGTCTAATGACATCATTTATGTTTGTATCGGTTTTACAGATAACAACTCTAAACCTACTGTCGTAATCAGACACTTCAACAAGTGTCAGTATTAGATTATGTCTAGAATTTACGGGGATAAAGATTAGTTGTTTTGTGATGACAAACATTGGAGTCAAGGAGGTGCATTTCGTTCTGTTCGGGACTAATTGGGTGGATTTACTAGCATCCCAGCAATTCTGTTCTCATTGGAACTCGAACCCAGTGCAAGTTGCTCCAAACGCCAGAATGTTATCTACCGAGTCATAAGAACCACGTCTTGTCCAATAAGTATCATTTATTATTATACTGTAGCTAGTTGACGTAGACTACTATGGCCGGATGAAGCAACACTTCATGAAAATAAATCACTTGCAGAATAAGAGGACTTTATTTCGTTTCATAGGGTCCTCACTAGCTGCAAACAACCTGAATAAACAAGCAATGATTGCGATGTATCTTAATTTACATAGAATGTCTGTAGATACCGGTTAATCTTTGAGGGATCAGGAAAATTACAATGTAGAATACAGAGGACGTTCAAGTAATACTTGTTCGTTACATTGATGACTTATTTATTTAGTCAAGTTGTATGCAGTTGATGAAAATACTATGATAAAAAATTTACATTATCTCATTCTGTAAATGGTGTTCTCCTTAGGTTTTCCCATGTTCACTAAGGGGTCTTCATGTGAGTTTAAATAATTTTTAAGAGGCCAGTCTACAAATCTAATTATTCACTTCATTACGTAGTCTTCCACCCGTCAACTACAAACTCATGAAAGATCCTGTCCCAAAACTATCACATCAAAAAAGCAAATCTCACTCTCTTCCACTCAGAAGTCTCAAAGTGAATTAGTGAAAAATATTATCAAATAGTTATGTTTACCCAAATATACAGATGATTGAAATAACCCATCTCTTAAGGAAGATTAATGATATACTCATACTTAAACAAGCGAATGGATCTTTGAATATGAAGATCAAGTTGGATCTTCGGTCAAGAAACTTCTTGACCAATGTTTATTTATAATAGACTGAAATTTCATATTCTTATCATAAACAACAGATTCAAGTGATAGTATGCGGTAACTAGCAAGTCGCACCACAGGATATCTCATCTACTTTTGACAACACTGAATATCAGAATATGTAAACTTGCGATTCATGTAGTAATTTGTTGCAAATGGATACAGAAACTCTATCGAGTTTGGCAAATTTGTATCAAGTTCCCACCACCGTATCAATTTCAGTTTAAGAAATTTATAGTTATCTACTATCTATACTTTACTTCTAATTAAAAGACATGCAGTTTTGACATTTAAGATTTACATATCGAGGTTACTGGTAATTCTGAACAGGTATATTTCTTAACTAGTGTTTTATTTGAAGAAAATGAAAGTGCTTGTTAGAACTTACTTTCTTCAGTTTTATCATGTCATGATAGATAGAAATTCATTCCTAAACTCATGGGTAAGAATCACTTCATCGCTTGATGAGCCTTAACCTTGACAAACTATTTGTTAATTGTTGAGTATTTTGTAGCTATTTCATCTTGAATACATGTTTTGTATGAAAACGACAATTAGTTTCATTATAAGCGTTATAACTCACTGTTCTGATATTCTTTCAGTAGAAGTCTGGATATAGATACCACTTTGTTATGGTCTTTCAGTGGTTTGACTCTCGTCAGGAAACATATTCCATGTTCATAGTGTAACCTATGTCTCATCAGAAATCTGATAGCAACACAGGTAAAAACTATCGTTAATTTTATGCATCATCCGATCTTACTTCAGTTCTTGTTGTGTAAAAATGAATGTTTATACTACTCAGCAAAGTTGTGATAACAAAGTGGATATGAACTGTAAAATCTCACTGGGATAAAAGTACATATATGATTTGTCATCAACTCAAGATGTTATGAGTAGCCTACAACACAGTAGCAGCAAAAAAGAGAATCATTTAAAACTTAAAATACCTATCAAAGAAAATGTGTTGAAATTTATCTCTTCACATCATACACCAACAAACATTCAGTCGACAGCTATATATCATCTATCTAGATGGTAGTATTGCCCGAAAACAGTATCACGTCATATCAAATTCTGAAATATTTTGCAATACTATAATAATTCGACTAATTAACATCTACTTCGTTCCCTTTCACTACAGATGGATTCTGATCGACTCTCAGCTACAAGGTTCAAGCTATACGTCGAGGAGGCACAAATGAGGAAGAATCGATAAATTCCTGCAGTACGCTAGTCACAAACAGTTATCAGGACAAGACTGTAGGCATACATATTATAATAGAAATTAAAAGATGTTCATACAGCTGGCAGAAAAGCGTCATACACACAGGTACACTTTAGTGGTGATGTACTCAAGGAGATGCTAATCCAGAACTTATGCAGATTCACCCGAAGGACTTTTAATGCTGGTAAAGTGAAAATTATGTTTTTTTATGCCGAAATCAAGACTAAAAGATGAGTTGCATTCAGTCACTTAAGGTTATACTTATCGATTCTATTACTCCTATAGACTCAGTGACGTTGATCCATGCTAGATGAGTTCTAGTTATCAACCCGATGAAAAACCTCCTTGTGGCTATGCAAGCGTATGTTAGAAACTATTAACAACTCTGGATAGATTCATTTAGTTCCAACGAATCGTATGACAAACATGAATAAGTCACTTTTCATTCCTTTCCGAGTTCACATCAGCTTCCCAAAAGTGACCACGCTCCAAACACTCCTGATTTACGAAAGGGTTGCAAACTAAATAAAACATTCTGAGATATATTTCTGCTACAACTAGTTGGCTTGCTTCCTTAAGCTAAATACTAAACCAAATCAAATTTAGAACTTCTATAATTAACACATCGGTTGGGAGATCTAATGCACCGCACTGTACTGCACTCAGCAACAAAGGTGAACAACATACGCATTTCAAACATCAACGTCAAGTCAGTACTTCTATGGGATGGTTCAGATACTTGGTACGTCACGAAAACCACTTCAAACAAACTGCAAATATACATCATCAACACATGCCGCCTACACAAACTCCATACTGAAGATGGAGATCAGATAACCAGAATAATAAGAATCAACAGCAAGGAACTCTGGCTGACAACGCAGCAACCAACAAAACAACCAAACAACCAACCAACCAACCAACCAGTCGAGAACCCATCACCCAACAAATGTGTTGAAGACGAAAGTGGAGATGGATTGGATGGGGGGGGGCATACACTGAGAAGACCATTCAGGGACATCATGAGTCTGACCAGATTAGATCAGGTCAGGTCAGTTCAGTTCAGGTGAGTTCAGGTGAGGTGAGGTGAGGTGAGGTGAGGGCGTTGATTGGAAGTCAAATGGGAAGGATGAGTTTGGTGTTTGTGGTGAGGGTGAGGGTGAGGGTGAGATGGAGGAGATGGTGTGAGGAAGAAATGGAAGCGTGTGGGCAATCGTGGAGGCAGGTTGATTAGATTGTAGGGAAGAGAGTGAAATTGCGATGTGCTACTGGATTCCTATGTTGCATCAGGAACCCATGGGACAAATAATAATAATAATAGCAATAATAACAACAACATGAAGAAAGTGTATCACATTTGTTCAAGTTATATTTTCACCAATACATATGTACTGTTCCGCTGAAATTGGTACTCCTTAAATCGTATACCTTTGTTTATTCCATCCTATGCTCAAACAAACAGTTAAGCCAACTCTGTGCTGTACTTACTCTGTGTAATCTTATTTAGGCTATAGTTAAGCCAGCTTTTTTCCACATGAAGTTCATAACCGGACAAAACGGAAGCTAATTTAATCTTTTCTTGTAGATAGCGCTCTATCGTTTAAAATAGTGAGTGATGGGTTCACGTTTAAGTGGGGAGGTAGGTGTATCCAGCTAATGAGTTCCAAACGCAACGAAAAGGGTGTCCTGAATTTTCTCGCTAGGTACAACATTCATTCATCAGCATGAAACTTGTGACTTACAGTATTATGCAACAAATGAAACTTCCAGAAGTTTGTATTCTTCGAAATACAGTATTTCATAAAACATGTTGCCTTCATCAGTTCTTTGGAGTCATTCGGCAGAAAGCTTAGGACCTAGACTTTGTGCATGTTGCCACTCGTTACCAAGGCGTATCTGCAACCTTGTAGGAACTGATGTCCCTTGTGAAATTTGGATCTTCATCATCCAGTTTTGTAGTCAGGGATGTTCAAACTCAGCTATTCGGACCGCAATTGACCACGACTGGTCATGGAAGATCAATCAATTTCATGTTGTCTGGTCCTGGGTGAAGACTGAATTACATCGATCACTTTGCAATATGGCCACCAAGCTAAGAGGCTGACTATTGCGGTGCACTTTGATAGACGTAGGTCAGTTGGCTTCAGTGGTAACATCGCTGACCACAGCAGTTGGCGATGTGGGTTTGAATCTCACAGAGGATA